AGGGGGGGGGGGGGGGGGGGAAAGGGTCTATTAAGGAGGAGTCAGCTGACCAGAAGGAGGCCAGACTTGAGGCATGTAAACCCAGGGCCTGAGCTAGGCAGGCAGTCTACCTGCATCTTCCCAGAGATCATGGGCCTTAAGGCCCACCTAGTTAACTAATAGCTAACCCTCCCCCCAAATGTGGGGTCAAAAGTTCGAAAGATACAACTGGTAATTTTTTTTGGTGGAACAACCAAAGAAGAAAATGGTAGGAGTGATGTGGGGGTCAAAGGTTCAAAATGTGAAAGCCAGTCCACAGAAAGAGGAGCTCCTGGAAGCAAGGCTTCTGATAACTGCCAAGCTAGTGCAAGCAGCACTGAGCCCAGGAACAAACTAGGCCTTAGAGCAGATAGGCTTGGGAAGAACAGCAGGAGAGCCCATGGCCTGGAGAGGGGCAGAAAGCAGAGGACCAGGGTGCCCAAAGTCCAGACAGCAAGTAGACGAGAGCCCAAGAGTAGCAAAGCAGGCCTTGGAACAAACAGGTCTTGGGTGCTGGGCCCCCAGCCCAAGACAGGGCAAAAAGATATACCTGGTGGTTGTGGAAGACAGACAGATAGACCAGAAGAACAAAGCCAGCAAGAGGGAGAGGTAGAGAGCCCAGGAAGGACAAAGTACTAGGAGTAGAACGTCTGGAGCCTCAGGGACGGGGGGGGGGGGGGGGGGGGACAGAAGAAGACCAAGAGGGTCCAGTGCACAGGGGTTACTAGAGCACATCATCAGGTCTGGAGCTGGGGCAAGGGGGTTAGGAGGAAGGGGGTACTAGGAAAGCCAGAGAAGGTCCAATGCCTCCCAGGAAGGTGTGGTGCCCAGAGGGGACTAGGGTACATTGAGGGAAGCTCCAGTGCCTGGGACTTACCAGAGGGCAGGGTGCAGAGAACAACAGCTGAGCACAGAGAGAGAAAGCAGTGTCAGCAAGCCTAGAGAGCCCAGGGGGCTTGAGCCCAGGAGTAGAGAGGAGTGGGGCCAGGAGCCTGTAGCCCAGGCAAGGTTATCTGTTACCAGATCACTTGCAAGGCATGGGAGCAGGTACTGTGGAGGATGGAGCCCACAAAAACTAGACATTAAAAGGCAATGACCACAAACATCTGTAGTCCTAGGAGTAAGATCAGATTTGGGAAGCTCTCAGATAACCTCCCTTTTTTATCAGAAACTGGTGACAAAGGCATGGTGGGCAAGTAAAAAAGGGGAGAGAGCCCCTAGGGAGTCAGTCAAATCTGGCAAGAGCTGAGCAGGGGGCAACATGAACACCCTGGGGTGGAATATTTGCTAGTTGCATCTTAAAATGAATTTCCTTGCCCTCAGTACTCCTGTTACAGGAGGGATCTAACTGTTGGAGGAGCTAAACTCTAGAAACCCTCTTCCAATTTCCAGCTTCAACGATGCCTATTTGATACGTTAGTTCTTTTCTCTTGCTTGCATTTATCCCCCATGCTTGTTCACTCATTGAGGAGCAATACAGCATCCATTTAATGAAATCACAGAAAGTTAGTGATCTTCTGCCATGTCCTTGTGATAACCCCGAAGCAAAGATCATAAAAATCATCATCTCTCAAGACGAAGGCATATTCATAACCTGTCTCACAAAATGCAAAGTTGTTTCTTTAGAAAATAAAATTAAAAAAAAAGCTAACGCACAAAAAAACCCTAACCAGAAACTTTTAAAAAGGAAATCCTACAAAAGATTATGTAGTCTCTTGCACTGGAGAAAGAATAAGAACACAGAAAGATATAGCAGATGTTCAGTCACATTTTAATGCACATCTGGAAAGCATTTGAATAGTATGGTGATGAGTAGTATGAGAAGTAATGCAGAACAGAGAAAAGGTCAAGTTATATACTGCAAACAATTAGATGGTGGGGCAGGGGGTGAAGGCAGGATGCACCATAAGCAGCAATGCAAATCAAGAATAGTGGCATACAGACAAGCAAACAAAAAAACTACAGACAGGTAGCTGTATGTACCACAGAAAACCTAATAGTTTCAGGACTGTGCTCCTATGTACATGTAAAAAGGATTCTTTTCTGGTGGACACCAGTTAGATATACAAGGTTATTGGTGAGACAGCACATTGAAACCTATCTAAATATCAAGAAATAAAATATGTAGGGTGTTCTCTCATTTATTAATTTAAAATCTACAGAGGTAGATGTTCATGGCTTCATGCTGAAGAAGTCCTTAAAATCCTAAAGGGATGTCAAGACCAATAGCCATCTCAACCTCAAAATATAGAACAGCAGCCACATTTCATTGATTGCACAGCAGCCAATCAAAGTTTAAAACAAACAAAAAAAAAAACAAAAAACAAACAAAAAAAAAAACCCACACCTTAATTCCAGCAAGTTTTGGTTTAATCTTTGGAAAAAAAATTGCTCGGGGACAGGGGCCAGGGGGGGGTTGGATGAACTAATAAGAGCTGCAAAAAAAAAAAGGCACACAAATCCAGGGAAAGTAAGGAGGTCAAAAATCAGAAACCAATCCTCTACACCAGTTCCTAGAAACTGGAGATGAAAGTTTTGATGATAAGATTATAGAAACTCAAGGAGCTCTTAAGTATTACCCAAGTCAAAGAGGATATTTTGAAAGGATTTTCAAACTGGCTTAAGAAGTGTCATCCCAGATGAATAGTTCAGTAAGGTTAGTGGGGGGGGGGGGGGGGAAAAAAAAAAAAAAAAAAAAAAAAAAATCAGCCAATGGTTTCCTGCATCTGGTACAGAGACAAATTAAAGAGAAGCAGTCATGTCAAATGTAGAGGCCTTTCAACCTGTTATCCATGGCTAAGAGACTGGTCTACACCTTCAACTGGTTACAAAGATGTTCCTGGCAGGGGTGGGGAGTTCATTTAAGAAACTACTTACTTTACCCTTAAAACAGATGGTCAGTGAAGTTACTGCCTCTTCCCTGCTGAGTATAGGCCTCCACCCTGAACTACAATAAAACCAAAATTTAAGAGAAACTCAAAGTCCCAGCAGAGTCAGGATCCTAAGTCTGATTGTAGGAAGGTGAGCACATACAGACCCTTTCTATAATTTATAGGGAGCTGGGGCTATTCGTTCCAGTTGATGTCTGCACTGGAACAACCTGCTAAGTCATTTCAGGCATGGTTAACCAAGTTAGGCAATAAATAGCATTTATAGTGCAGCATCTAATCTTGCTGTTCTCATTTGCACAATTTTGCTTAGAACATGCAAAAACATGTTGGTTTGTTTGTTTTAGTCCAACCAACCCCTGTATCTATCCTGGAGAAAAAGGCTCAGAAAAAAAAGACACTTGGTACCTCCAAAGCAAGTAGCACCCATATTATATAACCTGGGAATAAGACATTTATGCCAACTATTCAGCTGATAATGTGCAAAATTATTCCTTCATCATAAGCAGTTTAAATAAATCTTGTACTTGACACATCATCTAAAGGAGGATTCAGAGTAAAAAGTCTTACCACAGTTTTCTTAAGACAGGATGGAATTTTAAACTAGTTTCTTAACCTTGCAAATGGGTTCAGTTCCAGCTTGCGACAGGCCTTGAAATTATTGTGAAGTGATCTGCTAGATCCCTCTCCAAAAAGGCATTTGCAGATACAGTGCATCTATACTTGAGTTTGTTTTCAAAGCCAAAGTTTTGGTACAATACTAAGAAAGATGGTATAAGCTACCACTTCCACCTCGTACAGTACAACTAGAAAAAATACTATACAGAGATTTGCAAAAATATTCAGACACGTACACCACCCGATTAGAGGGAACCACAGAACGTTAAAAGAAGAACTAACATGAAAGCAACTGGGGGGGGGGGGGGGGGAGGGGAAAGTTGAATAGAC